GGCAACACTCCATCCTAAAACATCCTTTGACCGGACCACATTTCTCAAGCAATAGATGTAGCATCCAAGATGTTGTAATATGAGGGCATTATGCTAGTCATTCTTCCCTGTTCTTTATTTTAGAGAGGCTTTCTTGCAATGATGGCAGAGAATGATGACTCTAGATTGGTTGAGTTTGCATCAAGCTGCCTACTCTTAAACATCTCAGTTGAAACAAAAGGAGCAGGTGGCCAAATCCAAAAGGTTTGCATTTCCTTATTTCTCGTATCTTAAATTGGTTGCCTCTTTTCATTGTAGGTTTTAGCATGGAACTACCATGCTCTCCACTGCTACTCTTGCTGTTACAGTATTACACGAGTTGATGAGCGTGTAGGTTTGGCATTGCCAAGAGCTGTCTTGTCCTCTTAAAAGGATTGTGCTTAACGCTATAGCAAGTTTTGGTTCGATGGTGCTAGTGGCTAAAGAGATTGACTGTGTAGTTTTTGCATTGGAGAAGGAGAGTGTGTTTGAAAGTGTTCTTGGCACATTTCACAACAGGTGATAATAATGTATAAATTTCTTATTATAGTAATTCCATCATGGTAGTGTATATTAGGTGGATCAATGATATGGCCTATAATTTGCCATATTATGCAAAAGAAATGGCACAAACTCACATACAATAAGAGCTTACAGTTAGATAGCATAATACTATATGAACTCCTCCTTTTGTGGATATGGATACCAAGGAAGATTAAGTTTTGTGTTTTTTTCCAGTCAAATTTTTGAGTGGTATTATACAGTTTCTTCTTTGACTCATGATATTTATTTTCTTATTGGACTTATATTATTTAGCTTTTTCTTGGACTAAAAATATGTCTTAAGTTTTGAATAGAATTGCTAGTTTGTCCTAAACCAATCATTTGAATATCAACTTCTGTATTTGGTGGATTATATTGACTTTCATTTACTTGAGCTCAGCTCAAAAACTACCTAGCCCTAACCTTTTCCAACACCTCAATAGGCAAACTCTTAAGAATTAAGGTACTAACTCAAGCTTAGCATCATGGACCACTATTGAGAACCAAGTAAAAATTACTTCAATATTACTACTTGCAAATAAATTAGCTTCATCATCAACTATTTTGGGTTGACAATTGTTTAACCAAACAATTCATAAATACATTACTCACAATCACATAAATATGATATAAGTATCACAATAATTTGATCATCAATCAAGAAACACTATAAGCAAGCCCACATTATTACTTCAAAAGCTTACATAAGAATCAAATACCAACTCTATTCGACAAAATGCAACATAAATGCTACACCCAACAAATAGAGATTTACAACACCAAACACCACCAACTTTATTCATAACATAAATAAAGTCATGCCATTCTCTGTTCGACCAAACTCAAAATTAGTCCAATATTAAACTACTCAAGAAGCAATAGTAAAGCATTGCAACTTAAATCTTTTAATAATAAGCCTAAATAAAATGGTTTAGCACTTCATCACTATCCATTTTACGACTCACCACTTATAAGATTATCATAACTAACATGCATCAAAATAAGGACTCTTGATTGCATAATGTGAGCACAAGCAATCAGATCACATCTCATTGCAAATCATATTTTGAAGAAGAAAAAATGATTTATGTGTTTGATCCTTTGTCTCTGATTATGATTAAACCTAAAGTTTTTATTCACACTATTTTTAGTCCTATCCAAAAAAGGTTTATGAGAGATTATAGTAATGATTATTTGAAAAAATAGACTAATCCCTATTGTCTTGATTGATCCACTTATAATCATGCTAAATTGTTATAGACCAGTATATTTTCTCTTATTGCAAATCTAAGGAAGGTTTACTTTTTATTCTTTGAGTTGTCTTCTATAAGTTGTTTAGCATGTTATTTGCAATCTTTAATAGTTAAGTTTTATCTTTGAGTTTTTTCTTAATAATATACTAACTATTGAAGTTTGTTAGATAGTTACTTTTATGTTTTTAAACTATCATGATCTTGGTGGTTTCTATCCTCTACTAATTTATTGAATGATAATTTACTTAGAATACTTTTGTGTTTTAATATAAGATTTATTCACTTGATAATTTGGTCTCTAAGATATTATTGTCTCTGACTTTGATATTGTCTATTTATTGACAAATATCACAACACCTTTAACCAATTAAAGAAAAGGGTGTATTTTTATTCATAAGCTCTTTTCTTTTATATTTAAACCCCATGGATGGTCTCTCAAGTCATTCTCTTTAATTGTTTATAACTTGCCTCTTTCTTTATATTCCTTATTTTATTAAAAGGGTGTGACTATGTAAATAACTCTAATTGATCTCCATTAATTTTGGGGAGTTTGTGTAGGATTTTCTAGCATGGGAAAGGATGGTACCAACAGAAAAACTCAAGCTGGAAGCCATAAATATTCTTCAACAGTTGGATGAAGTTCTCTTGCTTGTGTTGAGTCAGGAGCAACAATCCCTGGCACTACCTCTGTCAAATTGAAAACAGAGGAGGATCAGCCACCAAGGAAATAAATGCTACAGGGCCACCAAGGACAGAGATCAAACAAGGAGTGATTGGCACCAGTGGTACCTCGGCTACTATTGCGGTTGGTACTTCAACAGCTACAGCTTCTGTCAATCATCATCAAAGAAAAGGAAAACAAAGTTTGAGCAGTAAGTTTTAATTAGAAACTCTTATCAGAAAGAAAGCAGGTCATAGCACAAGTGTTTTTTAACAGTGCTATGTGCTGTTTTTTAACAGTGCTGAAAACTTTTCTGTTTTTTAGATTGGCACAATGGTTATCTGGATGATTTCGCAATTAGCATTTCTTTTATATGTTTTTTATTGGCATAAGCTATTTCGAAAAAGGGTAAAAGAATTTTGATGCAAATGTTGTCTTGCTCTGCTTCTTTGGCATGAAGAAGCAAGCGGATACTGACGACAAATGGTTAAGTAGAGTAGACTGATCCTAGGAGAAAGAATTGGAGAGCAGCACAAAGGTAGCTGGGGTGGCGGATCCAATAACAACTGCCTTGGTCGCCACCAAAATTGCCCTTTTTACATCGCCATGGAGCTTGCACGAGCTCAGGAACACGAGCCACGCTGCCTCGTCCCCCTCAAACGGCATCGTCTCAAACAAATCCTGCGCATCGTCCAGCAATCCAACCCGTCCCAAGACATCCATCACGCAAACGTAGTGATCGATCACAGGCCTTATTCCAAAGTCTCTAACCAAGCACGCAAAGCAGTGGCGTCCATGCTCGAGATTTCCAGCGTGGCTGCAAGCCGTGATCACTGCCACCGACGTGATCTCGTCCGCTTCCACGCCCTCCATTGCCATGCTGCGGAAGAGATCCATCGCTAGAGCGTAGCTTCGTCTCGATTGAGCGTAAGTTGATAGCATCGCATTCCAGGTAACTCGATCCTTGCCGCCGGTGATGGAGTCGAAGATCTGTCTCGCTGTGTCGAGGCTGCCGCAGCGGCCGTAGAGATGGATGAGGCTTGTCGTGATCGCCACCTCCATGTTGATCGAAGACGGATTTTGTTCTTCCGCAAGCAGCAAAGAGTGGAGGAGTTTTCCATCCGCAAGGGACGCGATGCTAGCGCACGACTCGATGGCGATGATGAAGCTCACGCGGTCGGGCCTCACTCCCTCTAGATCCATGGACTTGAAGAGGCGGAGCGCGAGCAAGGAGAAACCATTGTTCGCGTAGGCAGTGATCATTGTATTCCAAGTCACTCGGTTGCGAACTGGAGTACGATCGAAGAGTTTTTCGGCGTCGTGGATCATTCCAGCGCTGGAGAAGGTCGCGATGAGCGATGTCCATGAGACAACATCGTGTTGGGCCGATTTGGAGAAGACACACAGCGAAATATCAATATCCCCGGACTGGGCATGTGCAGCAGCGATGGAAGTCCAAGACACCACGTCCCTTCTGGGCATCAGATCAAACTTAGTTTTTGCTAGATCGAACATCCTAAGCTTTGCATACATGCTCAAAAACGCATTCTCTACGTTTACCTCGCCACAGAGCCCAATCGAGATGAGTTCCTCGTGGATGATCTTCCCTGCTCTCCGATATGGGAGGCTGCCGCATGCATCGATCACGCTGGAGAAAGTAAACGCGTTTGGAGCGACGCCATCCAGATCCATTTTCTGGAAGAGGCAGAACGCCTCGCTCGATCTGCCCAGCTGGGAATTGGCGACGATCATAGCAGTCCACGAAACCACGTCTTTCTCGAGCATGGCGTGGAAGATCTCGTAAGCTCTGTCTATTTCACCGTTTTGGGCGTAGGCACTGACGATAGAATTCCAGGAAACGATGTTGGTTTGAGCCATTCTATCAAACACCATTTTCGACATTTGCAAATCCCGGTTCTGAGCAAATGCAGAAACAATGCTGTTCCAAGATATCACGTCCCGATCTTTCATCTTATCAAAGAATCTCTTAGCGTGGTCGATCTCGTTGTTTCTCACAAATCCAGCGATCATTGCATTGCAAGCAACGAGATCAACCCAAGGCATATCTTGCAGCAAGACTTGAGCTTTGTGCAGCTCGCGGCTATGGAGATAAGCCGCGAGCATGAGGTTCCAGGAGTAATTGTTCTTCCTTTCTGGTGCGATGCCATCGAATACGGCCCTGGCCTGGCGTGCATCGCCGCAGCTGCCATACATTTGGATGAGAAGATTGGAGAGAAGAGTGTGCGATTGGAGGAGGCGATGGCCAGCGCTCTTGAGCAGCGTGTGGATCCTCCGACCCTCTTCCACAGCTCTGGCCTTGATGCATTGCCGCAGCAAAGTGGCATACGATCTCGCCTCAATCGAGCCTCCAACTTTGTAGCAAGAAAGATACCTAACAGACTAAAGCTTAAAAACTGGTTTTAGTTAATAAATTCTAAAACCCATGGTTACTCATACCATTAGTCTATACCATGCAAGAAAATACACGTAAAGTACTCATTTTAAAGTTTTTAAGCTGCAACGTTTTTAGACGAAACGATTGAGAGTGTCGTCTAGAGCAAGCGAAGGTGGTGGAGCGGTGCGAGGGCCTAGAAGTGGCTGGAGAGCCTTGACCACAATGCTCATGCTTGGCCGGAAGTCGGCTTCGTATTGGACACACAAGGCAGCAACTGCAGCAAACTGGAGATGGAAACCACAACGCCATTGTCAATAGCCTCCAGACTAGAGATCACTTCTTACTTTGGCCAGGCCTTTAGGAGGGTACTCTCCCTTGAGATTTGGATCCGCGCACTGCGTCACTTTGTCTTCGGTCAGCCTCGGCGTTGCCTAAGACAAAGGAAGAACAAACCAGCCAGCGAATGGGTTACCAATGGAAATGAAAACGAAGAAGAAAAATCCCACCCATGTCACCAGACTTTGCTGGCCCCGAGGCATTGAAGGATCAACTGGCCTCCTTCCCGTGAGAAGCTCCAGAAGAACAACTCCAAAGCTGTAGACATCGCTCTTCTGAGTTAATTGCCCGGTCATCGCATACCTGCGAAGATCGAAGATCGAAGGTCGTCGAATGAAACACAACTTTTCTCCCGCTTTGAAACTCACTCTGGTGCGTGGTAGCCGAATGATCCCAGAACCCGAGTCGAATGCAGCCGTGAAGCCATGTCCGGTGCCTGGTTGCTCGGGTTGTAGTCTCCAATCTTAGCTGCGTAGTTCTCGAACAGCAAGACGTTGCTCGACTTGATGTCTCGGTGGACGACTGGTGGCTGGGCCTTCTCGTGCAAATACTCTAGCCCTCTGGCCGCTCCAACCGCAATCTTTACTCTTTGCATCCAGTCCAGCACAGGCCCTGGCCTCGATCCAAGCACACCTTTCCTGCCTGTAAACGCTCTTGAGACATGATCGCAAAACAAAAACGCAAGAGAAAGATAAGTTTTTCCGACCGTGAAGAATATCATGGAGAGATCCCATCTCCGCGAACTCAAACGCGAGAACACGCAGAGGGCCGTCAATGCAGTATCCAAGGAGCTCCACCATATTCTCGTGTTTGAGCCTCGACTGCCTTGACACCTTAGAAGAGAGATCACCAAACAACTCTTTAGGAAGAACTGGCGCATACCTGAGAGACGAAGTCCTCATGCGGTTGCGGGCTCGAATCGAGCTTCTTGAGAGCCACGGACTGCCCATTGCGCAGCTTTGCAAGATAAACTCGACCATACGAGCCCTCTCCAATGAGACGGCTCTGGTCGAAATTCTCGGTGCTCTCCAACACCTCCTCGACTGGGATTGGCGACACAGCAATGGGTTGTACCCGACCTTGCCAAGTATTAGGAGCTACATGATCTAGGAGACAGAAGAATAAACAAACACTCTAGCCACTAAGAGCGCTTACCTCTTAAATTCCCATGAGCCGTTTGTGAGTGGCTATGGTGGCGATCGTGATCTTCGTTCCTGCCAGGAAAAGTACCACAGCAGCTTAAGCACGACATCTTTTTAAGGGATATAGGACTAAGGAATTGGAGGGTGTTCCTTCCAAAGCATAGTTTCTATCACCAAAATTAAACCTAAGTGGAAATAGAGATAATACTTAAAGGTGTTAGAAATGAGAAGAGAAGTCTTTTTTAAGATTATTTACCTTTTGAATTTCTTCTTTACCTTTTGTAATTTCTTATATTTTACTTTTAACAAATAAAATCTAAGCCATATAAACTTTGTACTAAAAATTGCCCAGCCAATGCTGGGCAGTTGCATTTTCAAGAGGTTTGCTGAGATTAGTTATGTTTGCTGCTTGATCAACTCAAATATTTTCTTCACCAAACCTGAATCGATTCACCATAGCTTAGTATTGTTAAGGTACTGGATATTTTAGGTTGGAGTTGCTATTTGATATTATCACTTAATTTAGAAGAAGTTATTATTTTAATATTTAATAATTAGTATTTGTACTAATAGTTTAAGTTATATATTTATATTAAGCTTTTCATTATTAGTATAAAGTCTCTTTGAGTGTAATTATAAGAAATGCCCTATATTATTTTTGGTGTAATTTATAGATAAAATTTATTTTACCAATATCTATTTTTTTCACTCAATATTCAAACATGATGATGAATCCAAAGTTTAAGATTTGGATCCATCCTATACAAAGGATGAAAGACTTTAGAATTTTAATGTTTAAAGAATTATGTGTAATTGCAACTCAGGAATTACTTGATTATGATGTTGTAAAGCTTCCCATTTACAATATCACTTCCATAACTGAGAATTGTATATTCATGATGATGGTATTGCTGTTTAATGTTGATCTTTTACTTTTAATTATAATGCCTTTAAGTATATTGCATTTTCTTCCTTTGACCAAGTATTTATAATCTTCATATATTACTAATATGAAATCAAGAAAGATTTAAAGAACTTGAATTGTAATTATAAAGTTTGTATATTTGTACAGGGCATGGTTAAAAGAATAATATAACATCTAATCTACAACAAAATCTCAGAGAAAATTAAATCCCAAATTTAAAGTGGGTTTAATTAAAGAATTTATGGAAAAAAAAGTTCTATATACTAATGTAAATAGGTTTCTGAACAAGCTTGTATGTTTAAATGACCAAACACTATAGATCTATAATTGGTTTTCTTAAGCAAACCTGTAGAGGTATTGAATATATTTAAAATATGCTTGCAGATTCTAGGTTATTTTAATATCTAATAGTTGTTGTTCACATTTAGATTAATATTTTTATATATAATTTATAAACTTACTTTCTAGTATAAATTCCACTATTGATATGCAATAATATTAGTCTTGATTGATAAATTATAAATATGGTTATAACTATCATACTACTGCAAATTAATTAAGAGATAAGTATTGTCTCTCATATTTTTGGTTTGCTTAAGCAAAGCTGTAAAGGTAGTGAATATACCTAGAATATGCTTGGAAATTCTATGATATTCTACCATCTAACAGTTGTTATTTATTTAGATTAATCTTGTATTTATAATTTATAAACATGTTTATAATTTAAAAACTTTCTTAAACCCTTTCTAGTATATTCTTTATTTTATCATCTAATGGTTGATATGCAATAAAATTAATCTTGTGTTTATAAATTACAAACATGCTTATAATTATAAACTTTATTTGATCAATTGGATTAATAAGTAATAATAAAACTACTATTAACCAAACCATCCTAATAACAATTTATTTATCCCTTCACCATGGTGTGCCAGCTACCATCTTTGTTTGGGTTTTATTGACGGCACCATCAACACTGCATCACACTCTTTCCTTGCAACACCTTAGAAAAGCTTTACTCTCATTTTGATTAAATTCTTTGGATCCATGATATTCAAGCATATGCCTTCAGTCATATGCAGTGTTCTTATTTCTTAGGCAGTTCCCAAGCACCTAAATGAAAAGTAACTTTCCACTCCTAATACCCTCTCCATAATAAAATCCCTTTCCCATCCCTAAAACAACATGTCATTGATGAAAAAGTCAAAGAAGAAGATACTTAAGGAGGTAAGCTCCAAAGCCTCCACAACTTTTCATTGCCAAGCTTTAGTTTCCTCAAAACAACTTGAAGATAAGGACTTCTAACTAGCTCAACCATCTTGGTTTAACAATTTCGTAAATGAAGTACCTTGTGAAGGCTATAAGATGAAACAAAAAAGCTATGAACTAATGAAAAAACTATAGCACCTATAACCAGCATACTTTGTAGGGCACTCTCCAATTACTCCAAATGAGTAGTGCAAGAAGAAGTGTGTCATTGTGACAGCGACACCAGAGTACTTCTGAACTTGGGGCAGAAAACTTCTCGAGCAGCAGGCATGTGTCCACACTGAGCAAGTACGCAAGTAGTGGATTCCGTCCAGATTTCTCTCCCGGATCTGCGAGTGGAGCCTCTTCTCTGCTAAGTTGCCGCGTGCCTTGAGCGCCACCATGAAAGTCTGAGCGTTTGGCTGCGGCTTGCTCATAGCACTCAAGAGCAAAGGTTGTTCTTGGCAAATCCCAGGAAACGACGTTTTGCTGCTCCATGCAAAGTCTCAGCGTTTGGAGGCAGGCCAGCTTCTCGTTGCATCTGATAGAAGACGTGCATGTCCCATGATGATCGTGTTCCAGGCAACCAACGTCGTGTTTCTTTGTCCTCCTGAACACTTCTGATGCTTCCACATGTCCACGAGGCTGCTTGCGACGAATGCATTGGGTTAATTTGCGAGGTAGACCAACCTATCCTGTTCTTCGTCTGTCAAACAACCTGTGTTGCAAGCCGCAGTGTAGACTTCGACCATACTTCCACAATTTTGCACTTGCTTGATTCCCGGCTTATGATGCTCTTGACTCTGGAGAAACTTATCTGGCCGCTATGCCCTGCTCTGCTTCTTCTCATCGAAGTTGAGATTTGAGCACCTGCAAGAACAGAGAGCAAAAGTAGTATGTTACCTTTTCTCAAACCTTTCGTCTCAAGCAACTTCTCTGGCCTTTGGAGGTGCACTAACGTCTGCTCCCCCGTCACCTCTAGAGGATAGCTCAGTCAAATCGAAACTTGGTAGGTTCCTGCTCTACTTTCCAGTCCATGGTCCGAGCCAGCTGCGCAATAACTTCCAAGTCTGGTGACTTCCACCAGTGGACCCTTGTATGTGATCTTCACCGTCCGTGAGCAAGACCCTGCTGTCTTCTTGCTCTGCAACTTCATCTCCTTGAAGATTGTTTGTCCACAATCTTCCATGTGACAAGGCATGCACTGTGCTGACTTACGCGTCACTGCCAGTGTTGGCAGGACACTTTGAGGAGAATCCCAGAGTGCCATTGCTGTGCGAACCACGAGTGTGAGCTTCCAGCTGTTTCTTCTCAGTCAGAGAATCGTCCACCACAACTTCGATCTGCCACCCGGGATCCTGAAAGATCGCATTACTGCGCTGCTTCCTCCGAGAGAACATCCATCGCACTAGCAAAAAGCATGCGAGCAGCACCAAGATCGCAACCAAAACCCACAGAAGAAGCTGGAGCAGCGACCACGGCGTCCTCCGAACCACTGTAACTACTGCTGCGGGTGTTGGTGTGGCCACTGCTGCGTCGTGACCCTCGCGACGATGGTGGTGGTGGTGGTGGTGGTGGTGGCGTCCTCCATGGTGGTGACCATGGTGGTGACCATGGTGATGGTGGTGAACAACCAGAGGAGCTCCATCACCGTGATGATGATGGTACACTGCTGCTGCTGGAGCTGGATCGTGGTGGCGAGCATCAGGCGCTGGAGCTAGATGAGCAGGGTGGCCGCGAGCAGGGTGAACGAAAGCAGCTGGCGCTGGGGCTCGAACTGGAGCGTCACCTTGAAGAACTGGAGCTAAAGCTGGCACTGGCTCGTGGGCTCCTCGAGGATGGTGTCCATGGTGGTGTGGTGGATGTGCTGGAGCTGGAGCTGGAGCTGGAGCTCGCGGGTGTGAAGCTCGGTGATGGCCGCCATGCCAGGGCGCTGGAGCTCGGCGGGCAAGCGTTGGGGCGGCGTGAGCGCGAGAGACCATAGCTTACCTGACGAGAGCTTCTACAATAGAAAAATCCAAGCGAGAAAGATTATAACCTAACCCTTGACTTAGAAAATAGAAAATAAAGAGGTACTTGCTTTGTGAAAAAAACAAGAGCTTGTGACGCTGTGGATTGTCGGACTTGAACTAGCAAAGAAACAAAAATGCTAAACTTTTCTCTTCACCATTCTAATACTCATCCTTGGAGATTCTAGCAGCTTTTGTTGCATTTCAAAAGCCTTTTGAGAGATGAGCTTTGGAAAGCCCACCATCTCCAGAAAGTTTCTATAGCCAAGAAGCTGCATCTGCAGGCAACCATGAAGAATGTTACTAATGCTTATAATAATAATACATATTATAGTAATAGTAATCACAAGAGGAGGAGGAAAAGGGATAGTGTTTTGCTTTGCAGTGTTATGCAAGAGGATGAGTAAAGCAATTGGTAAAACCAACACAATATAAATCAACTGGTATGGTCTTCTGTACCAATCAAATTGTCTAAACACTAATATTAATTAGTATTTTGGTTTGCTAGTAAACATATTTAGCTACATATTTGTGTAGCTAAAAGTCTTTTAAAATGAGTAACTTGTTTTTCTTACAAAAGTTCAAAATTGGAAACGTCACCTTCACATTCTTTCAAAATTTAAATGCATTTGCTTTTCTGAACAAACAAATAGAGATATTGGGCATGCTTGATCAATCCAAAGAAACCAATTATTAAAAGCTTACTAGGTGATGGATTTTGTTTCAAGGTGGCCTCTCTCCATTCCTTGTATTCCAAGCATGTTGTCCTGCCTGGATCTTGTACCAAAACCAAACTAATGCCTTTGGAACTTGTAAGTTGTAACAAGCAAATCAATGCCTTCCTACTGACCTCAAGAATGTACAACTTAATGTAGTCCTACATAGAGAGAGCAAAAGGAGTCATTAAGAATATTTTCAAAATATTTTGGTACACAAAATAATATTTTCCTAATGTTACAAAATAGTAATTTAAATAATATTTAGATATGATTACTAAATATACACTTATTACTATAAAATCCATTTGAGTGAACTTTAACAAATGAGATACCAATATCTAATTCTTTCTCAATATTATAAAGCCCTTATATTAAGATATTGTGGTGTATCAAAATTTTAAGATTTGGATCCATTCCAAAAAGAATCAAATATATAAAATATATATGTTTGTAAGGGATTAAAGACTATGACATATGTATGGGAATTAGTTTATTGTGATGTTGTAAATCTTTCTATTTATAGTATCAATTCCTTAATTGAGAATTATATACTTGTAATGATAACATTGATGTTTAATGTTGAGACTTTTAACTTTCACCTTTAACTGTAATACCCTTGAGTATGTTGCCTTTGGCTTATTTTGACCATGCATTTGTAATCTTCACATATTCATTATTTTTAGTTTTTAGAATTTCTTGAGAAAAGTGCTAATGTTGAGCGTGTTAATATGGTTGTAAAGTGTTCTTTTCAAGTTTAAAGCCTGTTTCAACTAAAGTCTGAAGCTCCAAATTCATTAATTTCATCCAAATAACAAAATACATGGTATATCTTTTGGTTTTTGTATAATTAATACTACAAAAAGCAACTTTTGTAGGACATAAGCATATGAGCTGATCACATTGTCATGGAGTATTGCCATATTGTTTTATCATCTACAAAAAAAATCAGCTAGAGTTTGTAAAGTTTATATAATAATTTACTTACCACATAATATTCCTCCTATCCAAAAAAAACATTTGATTGTAGAACTTGTTGTAGGTCAATGTATATCTCACTAAATCTTATGAACCTTTTATTCTTAGACTTAGAAGCACCTATACTTAAAAGCATTGGTCCTCCTTGTTCTATAGTTATATACTCATGTTGGATGGTGCAAATTTGTCAATTATATAAGCCCACTTACTCATTGTTGGTTTTTTACAGTTTCAAAGTTTTCAGTTGGTTTTATTGCAAATTAAATTCCAAGATCATTTAAAGTTGAACCCATCACTGTATGAGGTTGTGACTAAGAGGTTGTATCAATATCAATAAGCATTCCACCAAATTTTTAGAATTGCATACATTTTCTTACAGCTTGATCTTTCATATAAGAGTGTATGAGCGTCTATTGGATGACCAAGTCATTCTAGCAAGTTTCATATTAAAATACACATTTAGAGCAACTTGTTTTCGATAGCCATATTATATGGTAGCTTTCAGTAAGATTTGTTGTTAACACTTGGGTAGCAAGTATTTTAAAACTCTTAACAAGTACATGATTTTAACAAGTACATGATGTGATAGCTGATGTGTATGCTCATGAATGTGTATGCTCATGTGTATGCCACATCACATGATAACTTTCAGTAAGATTTGTTACTAATACTTGGGTAGCATGTATTTCAAAACTAATTTACTAAAGAAAGAGAATTAATAAAGAGATCAATATGAGTATTTCCTTATTTTGAGAAATAATTATAGTCCTTAAATGTGGAAAACAAGTAAGCAACTAACTAAGTTTATAGTTTTAAAATTGTATTTTGTATAATCATTACCTTCAACCCAATTTAAGTTGAATACTATGATGAGCACAACTGGTTATACTAAAGTTTAAAAAGTACAAACACTTTAGGAGATGCAAACAAGTAGTATAAATTTATATGTTTATAATACATTTCTTTGTATGTTCATGTAAACTCTACACCCAATGGAGAAGGCAACTCCTCTCTCATATGATTAAAACCTTATTTATACCACCATTATAAATAATTTTAATACCTCCTTAATTTGTTTGTTCTTTGTTACTGATAAAACCATAAAGCATTAATGGTATTGAAGATTTTATTCCAACTTGGCATGTGTTGATTAGTAGTGTTCAAAAAAATTTAAAATAACATTTCTCTCAAATAACTATCACTATCAAGGATTATGCTCTATATAAAAAGATTTTCTAATAAATAGAGCTAGTAAATTGACAAAAATATTCTGATACACTAAAGAATATTCTATTAAGGTTTTAACTGCAATATTTTTATTAAACAGTGTGAGGGCCAAATATATAGTTATGATGCCATATACTAATATTAGCGTAATGGGATTTTGGTAGCTGTTATATTGGTTTCAATCTGGACCACTCACTTCTATATATAAGCTAGGGTTTTCGAGCTAATTGATATGCACATTTTCTATATTCTCTTTCCATATTCCATGCACTCACATTAGTGAAGGTAAGAGGCATTTTTGATTGTCTTTGAGGAGTGTTTGGATTTAGGATTTTGGTTTAGATCTAACTTTTGCATTGTCTAGATCTAGCTTTTTCCATTTCCTTTCTTTTGTTCTTTCCCTTCAGGATTTTGGTTTAGATCTAGCTTTTTGCATTGTCTAAATCTCCATTTTCTTCTAGCTTTTTATCATTCCTCTTCTTTCGCTCTTTCCTTTTCATTCATTATAGTAGATAAGCAATCTTCTCCTTTGACTTTGGAGTAACAATTGATACAATTGCTTGATGTTATGCGCTTGCAATTGAACAACCAAACTCAGTTGATGGTGGTGTTCATGACACATGGTACAATTCCTCCTACTTTTGGTGTCAATCCTCACGTTCGGCCAAAGTTTTTTCACAGGAATCCTAGGGATGATGTGTACCATTGGTTTGATCACTTCACGATGATTGCCACATATCATTTATAGGATGATGCTTGATGTTTACGTGAGTTTCCCACGTGTCTCCAAAGGACAGTGTTGCAATGGTACAATGGTTTAAA